TATATATACTATAGATGATATATATATACACATATAACGAGAAATAGATAGATAGATAGATAGATAGATAGATAGATAGATAGATAGATAGATAGATAGATAAATAGATAGATAGATAGATAGATAGATAGATAGGTGGTTGGCAGGTGCTCTGGTGTGGTTTGGCCCCAAGGAGTTTAGAACTAATGGAGCCTCCTCTCTCTCTTCGCGGCGCCGCGAGCAGTACGCCGCGTTGGGGATCAAATCTGGCCACCGAGTGTGGGTAAATCACGAACTGTGGCGGTTCTTTTTATAGAATTTTATCGGGCTGGTCACGATGTGTATATATGTAGGGTGGGGGAATGCCCGCAAGTATGAATGTATGTGTCTGTGATGATATATATATATCTATATTCGTATATATATGAATGTATATATAGATATATATATATGTGTATGTGTATGTGTGTGTGTGTGTGTATATATGTGTATATATGTGTGTATGTCTATATATATATATATATATATCTATATATATATATATATATATATATATATATATATATATATATATATATATATATATATATAGATAGATATATATATATATATATATATATATATATATATATATATACAGACATACAGACAGACAGACTGACTGTCTGTCAGACAGTCTGTCAGTCTAGAGAGATAGACAGACAGACAGACAGACAGACAGACAGACAGACAGACAGACAGACAGACAAACAGACAGACAGAGAGAGAGAGAGGGGGGGGGGAGAGGGAGAGAGAGAGTGAGAGACTGACAGACAGACAGACAGACAGACAGACAGACAGACAGACAGACAGACAGACAGACAGACAGAGAAAGAGAGAGAGAGAGTGAAAGAGAGAGAGAGAGAGATTGTGATCAACTGACGGGCTGACGGATAATGACAGGGAGAAAAAAGTATGTGTGTGATACGGACTGTTCAATTCTTTAAGAGTTTTATGTTATAATCTAGTTTAAAAATAAAAAGATGAGTAAAATAAGAAGAAAACTTGTCCGAGTAACATAAAATTATCAAACATACCAAATTAAAAAGATAATCTTTCAAGATGCTAAAATATATAATTATAAGAAATGGATGAAAATACACTTTTAAACTGAATTTAAGATATATGATTGCATGATTCTAGGCGTGTGCCATAACTAACTTTATATGTAAGGAATAGCGGACACAAAAGAGGGTCGATGTTTGCTTTATCTAATTGCTAACAGTATGTCTTGGTCTATAAATAATATTATTGATCACAATAATTTTGTTTCCTGGTTTTCACAAAGTGGAGCGCACAATGATTTCAAATATTCCAAAAAAGAGAGATAACAGCAATAGAATTAAACCGAGTATAGTTCTATCTAACAAGACTCAAACTCTTATCCACCCCACCCTACCTTCTCCCCTCATCTGATATAGTTTGGTGTTTCTTTAACATAGAAAATATTCATAATTATTGTTGTTGAATATTGATTTCATGTTCTAATGGAGCCTCTAGATATCTACATTTAGACCACAGTAGCATCTAATTTGCACACACAAAGGAAAGCAATATCTTTAATTAAAATGTATAATATGTATATACATACACACATAATAATTATATATACTCATAATAATTATATATATTTATGAATAAGAATACTTTTAAAAAATTGAGTATCTCAGTCTTTCTGCTGGGGTGTTGTATCCCTTTCAGCCTGGGTTGGCCTTGACATGTAGCGCCGGAGCCAGCCTCTTATGAATTAATGATTTAAATTGTGTTGCTGGGGGCATACAAACACTTTCATTCAAATTGTTTTAAGGGAAACAACTTCACTGTGAAAACTTCGGTCCACTGCAGCATCATATCGGTTCTTACACTTAAATACAACACATATGCAAGGCATTTTTACTAATTGACTTGCCTAACCTGAAGGACCTCGGAATAAAACCTTCTTTCTTTTCTAGATTTCAGTGCCTTAGTCGGGCAATCGCGCAACGCAGGTAGCCCGACCGTAGCCCACGGTTCCGTCGCGAGAGAGGGCTCCTATCAGGCGTGCGGTGCCGCCCACAGAGCATCCTCCATTACTTTTAATCTCATTGTTTGGCCCTTCTTTCCCATCAAACATCTATCGTCTTTATCTCCCCTTTCTTTTTTGTGTTTGTTACTCTCTTGTAATACTTCTAAATCTTCGGCGCTTATAATAAATATGACCTTATTGTGTTGCAAGTGCCGTAAAACTCTTACAAAAAAAGGGTATGTGTATTTATGTATTTATCTATGTATGTACTGAGCATAAACATAACAAAGAAAAGAATTAATTTAATGACTAGAGGGGTATGGTATTGCAGGCAATTTTTTTTATACAACTTGGTCAGACAAAAACCGAAACAGGTTAGATAATCAAAGTAATGAATAAATCGGAAAGAGTGTGTAATATATTGTGTAATAACTGAGTGTTGAAGGGGCAGGGGTGCAGTTTGGACAAAGAGAGAAAAAGGGAAAAGAAGGGGTAGAGAGAAAGAGAGACACAGAGACACAGAGAAAGAGAGAGAGAAAGAGAAAGAGAGAGAGAGAGAGAGAGAGAGGGAGAGAGAGAGAGAGAGAGAGAGAGAGAGAGAGAGAGAGAGGGGGAGAGAGAGAGAGAGAGAGAGAGAGAGAGAGAGAGAGAGAGAGAGAGAGAGACTAGAGAGAGACGAGGGAGAGAAGGAGTGACTGAGGTGAGGTGTGTGTGTGTGTGTGTGGGTGTGTTGTGTGCGTGTGAAAGTGTGAAAGTGTGTGTGTGTGAGAGAGAGAGAGAGAGAGAGAGAGAGAGAGAGAGAGAGAGAGAGAAAGAAAAAGAGAGAGAGAGAGAATCAAATAGAAGATCGAGAGAGGCAGGTACCTGGCCACAAAGAGAGAACATTACAATCAATTTTGATCATTCTCACTAGCCTACGTACCAGTCAGCTTTGGTGTGTGGATCGCGAACACCCAGAGTTAATTCGGTTACAAAAATGGGCAGACCTCCTTTTGCCACAACATTAAGACGGTACTGGGGAGAAGAAAGTAATGCAAAACACTCAGAACTGGTTTTCCAGTTTTGTCTTTCTGTCTGAGCACGTAGACGTCAGTAAGGCAAAATCCTCCTGACGACACATTAGCAAACAACAATGAACACACCGTGATAAAACTAAAATTTCTGTAATCGAAACACGGTCTATATTTAATAATACAAATAAAAAGGGCGTCTACACTGACGGATACAGAACGGATGAGAAAAAGAAAGAACAAAAGGTAGAACCAGAATTCTATTCTTTGATCCCAAGTGGCTGTTTAAGTTTTTGGCATTTGATCTGTTGGGTTTTGCATGGACACACTCACAGGACACTGCCAGCGTGTCGTTTTTAAAAAGTGGATTTGTTTGAACAATTTCTTGACCTTGAACTTGTCTGTCTGGTGTCGTAGTCCAGTGTGAATTTATAGCAGTAGCTGCTGAAGCACTGTGTGTATGCTTGTGCGTGGGTGTTTATGTGTGTGTATGTATGTGTGTGCGTGTGTGTTTGAGTTGCACAAATTAATTTGAAAGTAAACTATGAGAATCTGCATGTTAGCCCTTTTCTAAGCGTGAGTATGTGTGTCTGTACTGTACCTCTACTGGAGATTATGATAAGGTAGAGTTATGGAAACGATAACGGAATTTCGATGTGGGTCTCAGTCGTAAGTGAGTACCATTTTGGTGTTACGTTTACGATGGGTCTAGTGGTTTTGCAAAATACATCAGATTCATGCTTATGTACTGGTAGCCTCACTTACGTTGATGCTGTCAGGGTTGGGCTCCTCGTAATCATTGAGATGACTTTGTACTCCGACCCCGCCAAGGCCAACATTGGCCGCCTTGAATTTCAGGATCTGGGTCAAATAGCTCTGAGGACGGACCGAAAGCAAACAGTCAATGTCCAACTTGAACTGTGCATCCGACAAATTAGGTCAAACACATTTTTCCTCTCAAATTATGTTATTCACAACCATAATTACAAACGGAAACGCTATAATATGTTTGTTTGTTTTTAAATATATTATAATAATAATAATAATAATAATAATAATAATAATAATAATAATAATAATAATAATAATAATAATAATAAATACTCTGCTCAATGTTGAGCAATTCTTGTTGATAATAAGAAAGAAATTGTTGGGGATTTTTTCTAATTTTTCCTCTGAAAATCAGTGTTCCTGCATACAAGGTAGTAAGCACGAATAACTATCCTTTGTACTTATCTCTGGAAAGAAAGGTGAGTTGCAACATCTTCTTCTTCAAGAGTCAAGTCTGGAGCAGACATTGACGATCATGGTACCCCGTTCCTTTTTTTTTTTGGTCTGTTTTCTTGATCAGCTCGGTTTTTCTATTTGTGTTATTCGTTGCAAAGTTGTTCAGGCCATCTGTATATGTTGATCTTTATCTTCCTCTGCTCTTCTTTCCCTCTATCTTACCACACAGCAGCTGTTTTTCTGGTCCATTTTATTTTTTTGTGTGGCCAAAGAATCTCTTTTTTTTTCAGAAGGTTCAGATAATGGATATTTCACATCCTTCCGTTTGGAGCACTTCTCTATTATTTTCCTCTCTGTCCATGAGATTCTGAATATTCTCCTAAAATATCACATTTCAGTCTTCTTTCTGTGTCATTTGACCCCCAAAAGCAGTGCTTCTGTGTGCCAAAGCCATAGTAAAAATTTACCTGCTACACTTGTTCTTAGATAGGCCTGCTTGTACAAGGGAGAGACAAAGGAACAGCGGGTCTAGGTTAGGCATACAAGCACAGTTTCCGAGTTTTCGCCGAGGGACCCTCTTTTCATTATTACCATAATTTCAAAGGTTCACATGAGCCAACTGAGTAAGTCACAGAAGGAAACATAACACAGTGTTACTGGGTTCTCAGAGTTTCCATAGGTTTCACGGTGCCTGCAGGCATTTAGACTTCGGCCGTTGAAACCCTTCTTTATGTAGGGAAACAAACAGAAACTGTAGATCTAAACGAGATTTGAATTGCAGTTTTCCTACGTTGAATTTTTATGGGGAGGAAGGCACATGAACAAAGATAATAAACTCCCTTGGTTGGTTAAGTTTCAGTTTTTCAATCTCTCTTTAACACCTTAGAAGCTCCCAATCTCCGACCCCAGGACGCTTTCCAGTTTTTCGACCCGCCGCAACACACGTTATAAATCTCAGGTAAAGTAAAATAAGTAAGTAAGCTTCTCTTAGAAACCATCGATCATTTTGAATGTGGTTACATACCTGCGTCATTTCACCGCTCTTCACCACATTGTACTCATTGAGGAAGAGTGTGGGTTTTGGGTCAGCTGCGTGAATCTCCCGGAACATGTGCTCCGTGTAGAGAGGGTTTCCTGAGTGCTCCTCGTAAAAATAGCCATGAAGTAGCTCGTTGTTCACGTCCCAGTGAGCCAATCTGTGGATATGATTGTTATGGCAAGTGAGAAATACTAGCAGAATGAGATTACATTAATTCTGCTAACAAAGACAGAATAAACTATAACTTTCTTTCCTGTTGCAATTAAGGAGGCAAAAATGCATCAATGGGAGGTTTTCTTAAGCCCATGTTAAAATAATAGATGTTTTTGGCATTTTCATCTTGAGAAACGTGTCTGTAAACTGCTTCCAGCCAACATCGAGCTAGGGGGAGATTCCAACCCATGAAAATCCTCACTTGTTCTTTGTCTGTGCCGTCATGTAAGCAATGCGATCATCCACGGTTGTTTTGAATTCCTGAGCGGACAGTCCCTTGATCCACTCAGGATTATTGAATGGGACAGCCCAGAACATGCAGTGACCTCGCACTTTGATCCTGGTGAAAGAACATATGGTAGAAATTGTTAGCACAGAAATTTATAACAACAAAAAACCGTAAGTTAGAAATATGTCATGTAAGAGAGGCATAAATAGGACAAACTTTATCATCGCCTGAAGAATTTTTCTCTCTCCGTGTGTAAACAAATTCGAAACAGAAGGCACTTGAATTTGAAATGATATTAAAAAGAAGTTCTTAAAGATCGCTCTTTCTTAGTAGTTTTAGACTCAATTTTAAGATTAAAGGGAATGTCCAAACTTTATAATCCCCTCCGCTGCTCCCATTGCCTCATGCACAATGCCCCACCCCCACCCCAGCAACCTATTTCATAGCTTCCTTTGCCTTTGATTTTGTCCTCTGACTTATGAGCTCAGTTCTCCATCTTCTATTTAACAAACAAGGACAAAAATATTATAAGATACATAAAAAGATAAAGATTTTAACATTTGCTACTGAAAGGTTGAAAACTCTTAATAAAGGTTGAAAGAGACTTTAAAAAACGAAGATTAAGTGCGTGTAGAGGGAATGTAGGACATTCATAATATTACGTTACACGAAGAAGTCAGAAGAAGAAGAAAAAGAAGAAGAAGAAGAAGAAGAAGAAGAAGAAGAAGAAGAAGAAGAAGAAGAAGAAGAAGAAGAAGAAGAAGAAGAAGAAGAAGAAGAAGAAGAAGAAGAAGAAGAAAGAAAAAGAAGACTGAGGAGGAGGAGGAAGAGGAGGAGGAGGAGGAGGAGGAGGAGGAGGAGGAGGAGGAGGAGGAGGAGGAGGAGAACGCACGTGATCATCATCATCATCATCATCATCATCATCATCATCATCATCATCATCATCATCATCATTATCATCATCATCATTATCATCATTATAATAAGCAGCATTGTTTTACAGGAGAAAAAAAATACATTGTATTAGAGACTTAAATATAGGCTTTGTTGTGTATATTTAATCAGATGTTCTGAGATGTTCGACGTTTCACCAAATTTGGCTATTTCGGGGACATGTTAGAATTTTTTTTTTAATTTTAAAAATCAAAATAAAGGCATGCAGTTTTGCATCGTGATGACTCGATAAGCAGCTATCCACCACCACCTCCACCACCACCACCATCATCATCATTGTAATTATTGAAGTTTCTCTAAGATCAATCTTGCAATTCTATTTTTCAACCGCTGCAGTGTGTTAGCTATTAGAGGTATACATTTAATCTGCAGATTGCTTGTAAGAAAGAAACTTGAGCGTGAGTTTTATCGGCAAAATCTAAATTTTTCTTGCACTCTCCCTGTTTCTCTGGGCATAATACTTCCTCCTCTCAAATGGGTTGAAGGGTCCAAGAACGAGCCAGTAAAATAAGACGATGGATAGACGTGAGCACTAAAGCTTGTACAATAAGTTTTTTAAGCCTTCAAAGTAATTTACCCGTTACGATTGAGGACATCAGTGGCTGCTACAGCTACCCTGTAGTCTGGATTAGTCTGAAATAGACGGAAATTATACGGTGGAAATAAGACGATATCAAAATTTTTTAAACGCTAGAAGTTGATTTTTTAGATCAGGGGTCGATTTAAGTACATGTAAATAAATGAGATTTTTTTGTATATGTGATATTACAATAGACACATAGACACTGTGTTCTTTTTCCAAACCCCATTGGTACAGGTATATCTCAGTCTGTTATTATTTTCACTTCGCTTTTTTCATTACTAGATAGAAGTGATATTTGCTTTCTAGTAATAAAAAGGTATGACAATAGTGATAACAGACGTAGTAATACCCTTGTGGTGACGATTTATATTTCAATTTAAACAACAAATAAGCAAGCAAGTAGATAACAGCACAAAGACTTGTATATGTAGGTCTACTCACCCTATTGCCCCTGTTAAATCGCCACTTGTAGTCCTGTACCGTGGCCCAGTTGAACATGTGGTAGTAAACTTGCTGATATTGAGCATAGTCCGACTCCAAGAACAAATCTGGTTTGACCACGGAGCCCCAGGCAAACAAGTGCTTCAGGTGGTTGATCTGATCAAGGGAAATAGTTTCAGGAGTTTTCTTTGTTGTTGCAATTTCGTTTATGGAAAGAGTGGTACGGACGGCACTTACAATACAATTAGGTCAAATATAAGTGCCGAAGATAAAAGCGAGTAACAAGCATCCAAAAAAGGAGGAAGGGGGACAAAGACGATAGATGTTTGATGGGAAAGTAGGGGAAAAAACCACACCAGAGCATCCACCAACCACCCACTTGTTGATTTGATAGTAAACAAGAATAATAAACTAAGATGTCTAGTGAAAAACTGGATCTCTTCATTTTTATTGTTTTTAAATAGGACATAAGCTCGTACCTTACAGCAATACCTGTTGAATATCCGTATGAAATCAATAATGTAAAAAATAAGTCATTCTCAAGTAGTTTTTCTATAACAACAAATTATGTTAAAAACAAATCTAATTAATCAATAATAAGTTCAAACTAGAAGATGTCGTGACAGGATTAATGTGTTGTTGGCGCAAATGTACATCTGGTAATAACGATTCTTTCTTCAGGAAAATCCCAAAGAATAATTACGCAGACATTTGGTGAGATCAGACCAGAATCTCCAAATCACGACATTTATCTCAAACATTACTTCTCTTTGAACCATCGCCCCCATCCCCACCCACCCAAACCCACCCCCACCCC